ACTAGGATCCATTTGGATTATATACCAACGAATTCACACACACACACACACACACACACACACACACACACACACACACATATATATATATATATATATATATATATATATATATATATACACAGAATACTGAAACAGATGTAGACGTGTCAACAATTTGTACAGCAGTAAATCGAGAAGGTTTTCACAGACGGTTCGTCCGAAACAGACACCTTTGAATAAAACTTATAAAAGGATCGTTTAAAATTTGCGAAAATGCATTTAAATCAGTAAAATGTTTCCTGAAATAGTTATTTGGTCAGACAAATCAACAATTGAACTTTTAAAACATAACCAACCTTATACTTTTCTTATATGTAAAATGTCGCTTGGCGACATCTAAGCCCTAGTAGCAAATTTCGTCCCTTGTCAAGCATCCCATATATTCGTTCCACCATTTATTAACACAAGCACGTCAGTAAGTAGCTCGCTGAATTTTTTTTTATCTTCCATACATAGTGTGAGTGTCAAATTCTCTAAGCCCTCTATTCTTATGTTTACAAGAAATTTTGTTTTTCTGATTTAGGATCTGTTTCATTTTTTTTTTGTTTTGTTTCTGAAGAGGTCTTTTCCTTACTCGCTCCATCCCATACATGTCAACTCAAGTTTTCTCATCATCTGTGAGGAGATTGTCCAGCATTAACTGCCATATAGAAGGACTGATCGCAGTTAAGCACTCTTTTCTTTGGTTCTAACGAAATTTTCCAGTTTCGCAGAACTTTTTTTTCTAGCTTTTGGGAGGCATCTTTTACGTTTCCAATGTACCTTAAGAATTTCGGGTGGCATTTTCCACTTGAAGACAAAAGAAACAGAGCGAAACATATCAACGCAATAGTGAGACATTGTTGCAGATATCATTTTACGCAACAGATTGTAGTAAATCTCCATGGATGAAGAGGATATAGATTCACTGCGATACCAGTACATTCTTTGGGAAATCATTTGCCATCAGCTATATAGGTAGGCGATTGATCATCGTAGGATAAAACTCCATGAAACATAGTTCGAAAACCACCTTAGACGTGGCTTATGAAGAAGAAGGTTTCAATAATGAAAATGGTCTTCCGAGGCGGCTGACCTAAACCAATTGAATACTAGTGGCATGAATTGATGATTGCTGTTCTTAAAAGGAAGCAATTGAAATCGAAAGATTTAGAAGCCGGTTTCATAAAAGAATGGCCAAAAATAGCAATTGCAAGATGAAGAATCCAATATGGAAGGCCATAGAACAAGAATCGGTGCAAATGAAATGTCAGTTAAGTAGTAACTGGGGGGGGGGTATCTAATGCTTAGCAATGATCACGCTTAATGTTTAAATAGAATAATTAATAATGTTAATTATCACTTATTATGACTTCAAACATTAAACTGTTTTATTGAGGTTAATGGAGATGAAGTCATCAAATTAAATTTGGAATAATTAGACAAAAAAATACAAAAATAATTTACGGTTGAATGATTTTTGTGCTAACTTATTCTCTCTCACTCCCTACGCTCCCACCCACACACAGTGCTTTTTGCATTAAATTACTATCTCTTTCCCTCTTATTCTCTCTCTCTCTCTATTTCTCTCTCTCTCTCTCTCTCTATATATATATATATATAGTGAATTTTTTCTCAACCCATTCTGTCTCTCTCTCTCTCATCCTCCATCCATCCATATATATATATATATATATATATATATATATATATATATATATAGGCTATTTACCTCCACTCATTCTGCAACAGTCATTCCTTATATATATATATATATATATATATATATATATATATATATAGATACATAGATAGATAGATAGATAGATAGATAATATTGTGGTTATACATATGCAATCATATATCTAAAATATATAAATATATATACATAGATACATACACATACATATATATATATATGTATAAAAAATAATTCAAAGAGGATAGAATCCAGGTAGAATTCAGTATTCTCGGATGTCTAATACATTAAAGATACACTGGGAAAGAGTATACATTCTGTGATGAGATACACACAATAGACGATATAATCTTAAAGATCAGAAGATGAGAGAGGGAGAGGAAAAGAAAAGAAAAAGAGGTGGAGGGAGAGAGACATACCAAATAAATATATATATATATATATATATATATATATATATATATATATATATATATATATATGTATGTATGTATACATACATCCATACACATCCACTCCTAAATATATATACATTTACACACATATATGCATACGGACATACACATACGTGCTCATAAATATATACATAAAACCTTACAGATCTCCATACAATTACATACACACACCCATCTAAACAAATATACAATGTATCCCTCTATCTATCCGTCTAACTATACATACATACGTATACACCCATACACAGATATATATATACATACATACCTAAACATACACGCACACATATAAACACATCTACATACACATCTACCTACATATACATCCATCCATATAGGTATATATATATATATATATATATATATATATATATATATATATATATATATATATATACATACACACACATGTACGCACACATATACATATCTATATATAAATCAAAATATAAAATTTAAAAAATATATGTGTATATATATATATATATATATATATATATATATATATATATATAGATAGATAGATAGATAGATAGATAGATTGATTGATTGATAGATAGATATATGTATATGTATGGGCATGTGTGTACACGTCTATATGTATGTATGTACGTGTATATATAAATATGTTGTTGTGTATGTGTGTATACTTATGTGTTTTTGAAGATAGAAGTATAGGTCCTTGCTAGATTAGATAATCGTTATATTTTTTTTATATGTTTATATTTGATTTGTAACCTGTAGTCGATATTGCTTTTGTCAAATTTTCTTGGTTACACAGCGGCCCTTTTATAAATGCCCTTCGGTTTTAGTCCGCCCCCCATATCTCTCTCTCCCGCCACATTTTCTTTTCTTTTTCACTCCCTCTCTCATCTACTGATCTTTAAGATTATATCGTCTATTGTGTGTGTATGTCACCACAAAATGTCCTATATATATATATATAATATAAATATATATATATATATATATATATATATATATATATATATATATATATATATATATATATTACGACCAAAAACGTTTGCGGTTTCTCTCTCCTTATTAATACACACTTTTCTCTCGATGGAACTACTATAACCTATTCTTTATATATATATATATATATATATATATATATATATATATATATATATATATATATATATATCTTTCACATGTGTATCTACACATGTACGTACTTATCCAGTTTCTATTTGCGACATAAAGGATTGTAAAAGGTAAATAATCTCAATATAATGTGTATTTGCGCGCACGTACGTGTGTGTGTCACACTGTAAGAGGGTTTGTAAGATGGCGTAGAAAAACAATGTATGAGTGTAGACTGTAATTCGATTTCACAGATGAAGTCTGTTGGTTTGATCTGACATTTGCAAGAGACAAACAACAGACTATGAAAATAAAAGTGGGCCTCTATCATGAACAATGCAGATAGGCCTAAGTCCTTTACTCACTGGAAACTTCCATATCCATATCTATCTATCTATCTATCTATCTATCTATCTATCTATCTATCTATCAAAATCGATCGATTGATCGATCGCATGCTGCCTGTCTATCAGACTTAAGTTATACATACATACATACATACATATATATATATATATATATATATATATATATATATATATATATATATATATATATGCCTGTGTCTGTGTATATGTTTGTGAGTTTTCGTATGTGCTTGTGTGTGTGTAAAATTCCAGATATAACTGATTTCTAGCTAAGGACAATATGAATAAAGACAAAAGGAAAACTTATCTTAGCCAACTTCTCTCGTTCTCAGATGGACTTTATGAAGGCAAATATAAGGATTTTATTTTGTAAATCGTATTTACAATCAAAAGGAAAAATGTTAGCTTTTCAATTTTTATTAAATTTTGAAGACACTCATAAATATTAATCAGATTAACTGAAAAGAGAGACGTGAATTATGGATGATCCTAAGTGAGGCAATTTAAAGACAGGCAAATGAAAATTATATATATATATATATATATATATATATATATATATATATATATATATATGCTTATACCACATTATCTATCTCACATTGTTCATATATATATATATATATATATATATATATATATATGTATGTGTGTGTGTATGTGTGTGTATGTGTATCTATCTATCTATCTATCTATGTGTGTGGGTCTGTCTGTCTATCTATCTATCTATCTCAATCTGTTCATATCTATCTATCTATCTATATATCTATCTATGTTCAACTCTATCTCTATCTAAGTCTATTCCTATCTATCTATGTGTGTGGAGGGTATCTATCTGTCTATCTATCTATCTATCTATCTATCTATCTATCTATCTATCTATATATATATATATATATATATATATATGTATCTCATTCTGTTCATATCTGTCTCATTTTATTCATCTCTATCTCAGTGTGCTCCTATCTATCTATCTATCTATCTAACTATCTATCTATCTATCTATCTATCTATCTATCTGTCTCGGCCTGTTAATATCCATATCTGTCTGTTCCTATCTACCTACCTATTTTCGTACATTTTTTCATTGACCTTTTAGATATTGATTTTTCCTATTGATAGGTGCATATGACATGCAGTTCTAATTACGGAGACCTAAGTGTATTGCGCTGACGTCAGTCAGAAATCCCTTTGTATTCAACATTACCTTGGTCTAAAGGTTTCTCACTGCACCGCCCGTCAATCAAAGTCAGAGAGTTCGTTAGGAATATGAGGTCTCTTGAAGTTGTTAAATGAAGAGAGGAAGAGGGTAGCCAAAAAGAGGGAAAATAAAAGAAAATAACATGACTGACTATCTATCTTATGCTTACCATACTGATCTATCTCAAATTCTTCGTGTCTCTCACAATCTTTCTTAATTTGTTCATATCTATCTATCTATCTATCTATCTATCTATCTATCTATCTATCTATATAATGCTTTCCATACTAAACTATTACAAACTGTTTGTATCTCTCACAATCTTTCTTAATTTGTCCATATCTATCTATCTATCTATCTATCTATCTATCTATCTATATATATATATATATATATATATATATATATATATATATATATATAATGCTTTCCATACTAAACTATTACAAACTGTTCGTATCTCTCGACATTTCTCACTCTATTAATATCTATCTATCTCTCTATCTCTCTCTCTGTCTGTCTGACTGTCTCTCTCTCTCTCTCTCTCTATATATATATATATATATATATATATATATATTATGCTTCCGATACTAATCTATCACAAACTGTTCGTATCTCTGACGACATTCTTCAGTCTGTTCATATCTATCATCTATCTATCTATCTATCTATCTATCTATCTATCTATGTAAGAACGGGATCCATCTATCTATTCTGTTGAGTCATGAATAATTTCCATTTCTGTTTATCAATATTATTCCTATTATAATTTAGGTTAATACATTTTATTGTATTATATATATATTATTATATAGTCACAAATCTTTACAAAGTCTTGCTATCACTGATCAGATAGCTCTTCCATATCTTTTGAGTAAAATTTCGCATGTTTTGATGCTAATATGGCGGCTAAGGTAGAATAAAACAACCTAGCTGCAATATATTTTTCTTGTATTATTCTATCTCTAAACGACCTTATATCGGTAAACAGCATTGCATGTTGGCGAGTGGCGGAATTTTTCGACTTAGTTTTTGTGGACACATTGGAGTTGCTGTCTTTATAAATAATCATTTTTTTTAAATGTTAATGATTAATACTAGGACAATCACATCAGACGCACATATTAGCTTTCTTCCATGGAGCTCATATTTTAATGTCGCTGGTGGTGATTAATACTTGTCAATTCATTTGACTAGCATATACTCCTCGCTACGTATTTTGATGAAGGTCCAATCAAGAACCCTCCGCAGGAGCTAGCTTAAATGCTGTTCTAAAGGGCGGCTTAAATTTAGTTTAAAATATATTTCAGGACAACTATTGGGTGTAATAGCCTATGTTGAGAATCACTGGCTTAGAGTTACAAATGTAGAAGATGCTGTAGCCATAATCATCTATCTATCTATCTCAATCTTTTTGTCTCTCTCTATATATAGTGATTTTCCAAGCGTAACTTAGATGTGGCACAAGGCTGAAAGTAGAGGGGCACCCAGTGAGAATAGAACTCACTATTCAGTCGTAATTGTTCTAGCGAGACAAGCTTGCTAACCATTACATTGCCTCGAGGTGCCCACTCTCTCTCTCTCTATATGTATCTATCCATCTATCTCAGTCTGCACATATCTATCTATCTATCTATCTATCTATCTATCTATCTATCTATCTATCTCGGTATTTTGTCTCTCTCTCTCTGTATCTATCCATCTATCTCAGTCTGCTCATATCTATCTATCTATCTATCTATCTATCTATCTATCTATCTCGGTCTTTTTGTCTCTTCCTCTCTCTCTCTCTCTCTCTCTCTCTATATATATATATATATATATATCCATCTATCAGTCTGCTCATATTCATCTATCTATCTATCTATCTATCTATCTATCTATCTATCTATCTATCTATCTATCTATCTCGGTCTTTTTGTCTCTCCCTCTCTCTCTATGCATATATCTATCCATCTATCTCAGTCTGCTCATATCTATCTATCTATCTATCTATCTATCTATCTATCTCAGTCTTTTCTATCTATCTATCTATCTCGGTCTTTTTGTCTCTCCCTCTCTCTCTCTCTCTCTATCTATCCATCTATCTCAGTCTGCTGATATCTATCTATCTATCTATCTATCTATCTATCTATCTATCTATCTATCTACTTATTTCTCCTTCTGACGCAGTGATCTATGAACTGAATTTCTAATGCTCGCTTAATATGAAATCGAAAAGGAACGGTTTTGACATTTATCAATCTTCTTACCGTCGAGTTCATCTTCGGATTCTTTCAAATACATGCGTGCATTGTCCTTCATACGAAGAACACCTTTTCATGATATTTGTTGAGTTAAATAACAATCGTCTGTTATCGTCTGATCCTTAAGACGTAGTCTCCGAATATAACAGTTCTTCAGTTTTGCAGAACCTGAATATTTCATCCTATAATGGTCGGAACGATAGAGTTTCGAAAATGAACATTTTTCTGTCGAATTTTTTCCGAAAATTATTATTTACATAATTTACATTCGTTTTATTGTCCTCATCATTGTTGTTGCTATAACGATTGTTTCGGCCTTCATCAACTGAAATATCGATTCGGATTACCTACATGGTAATTCCGAACTAAACACTTTATTGAATCTACGGGCATAGATGTTTCTCGTTTCACT